TTGCTGTAGCTACGAAGGCCCATCAATGTTGAGGGCCCTTGCCACCAGATGCATCAGCAACCAGATCATGCAGACGTAGCTGGATGTGGCAGTGGATCTGTGTCCAGAACCTTCTCATGCTGCTTTCTCATCGATCAAGGGACGGAGAATCTGAAGAAAAAAATCTGGCAGCTGCCACTGGCTTTTGCGCAGCCACGTTTGCTCAAATCAAAGCCCACAAGGAATCTGTGACTCTGAGCTTCTGACATACGGTACAGTATGCAGTGATGCGGCGCACCCGTTTGAGCTGGAGCGGCGCCCTTGCTCAGCCTGATCGAGCCTGGGCCAGGCCGCGGCCTGCAGTGCCAGTCACGGTGCGCCGTGGGCCCGGCCCGGCCGCGCCTCAGGATCAGGGCCGGCCGCGCGGCCGCTCGCGGCCGACACTGAGCTGTCGACAGTGAGTCATTGAATTGAACAGGATCGAAATTCTGGAGCAAACAACCATCGTCCATAGGCTAGCTACGGATGCTACTGGGGTCAAAATTTCGGTAGCTTTTCTGCCCCGTAGCACATTCCGTAGCGTCCGTAGCGTCCGTTGCTCTGAAATTGGCGATCTGTCGGTCACATCCTTAGCACCTGCCACGTCGGATCCGAAGCGTCCGTAGCTCTCCGTAGCACCCAAAAAGCTACGCATGTGAACACAGCATTAGAAGGCTACAATTTTCTCCCTATTTTCTCTGCGTGGTGAGGTCAACTTGCAAGCAGAGCGGGTTGAACAAGTGGTTAAGCGTTGCTTGGTTAAGAGATCAGGGCGCCACATGGTCTCGAGGACCGTCAACAAAGCCGGCAGGAGGGTCCGTCCGCTCCGTTGACCGTATGAATAGCTGCGCCCTCCTTTTTTTTTCACAAAAAAAGGATGTCCGACACCCAGCTCGGGAAACCGGCGCTTGGAATCGAAACGTTGAGCGGCCTCTGACTAACCACTAACTATTGATGTGGGTTAGAACCTCCATCCAAGTAGAACCACCATTGTTCAGCAGAAGGCTGAACAATCTGTGTTCAGAATCGGAGAAGACGCCAAGCAAGAGAGCTTAGACTGCTAAGTAGCGCCAGTGCGGGTAGACGGACGGTTGACTTGCCATCGGGCTGATGGCTGCCCCGGAGCTCCCTGCGGACCTGCTGCCAGCAGAAGAGGACCTGCTGTATGAGGAGGAAATTTTGCGTGATCCTTTTTCCCTGAAATTGTGGTGGCGCTACCTCCAGGCAAGGAAGGATGCACCTGCAAGGAAGCGGAGGCTACTTTTTGAAAGAGCAATCAAAGCTCTGCCAGGTATGGCCTCCAGCTGCCTGCCTCTGACTTTGGGCAGCCTTTGCTGGTAATGATGGCGGGGAACAACGCCGATTGCTTTCTTCAATTCTATCTGCCTAGTGCAAGCCGGCATGATGCCATGAATGTTTTCCGGCTGCATTCGTTTCTTGCCGCCTGTGTTCAGTGCTGTAAAGAACCTGCTTATTTCTATGAATGGCAAGAGATTACCTTGGCATTCAGGCTTTATTTCTGTGGTCCTGATCATCTCAGTTTGTCAAGCTGCTAGCTATCGTGGAAGTTCGTATTTCCAATCTGTTAGTGCTTGCTAGTCCGATGCTTCTATCGAATTCAAGATTAGAAGCTCAGCCAGCTGCGAGTCATTGTCTGTCGCAACAGTTACAGTGAGGTCACAGTTGAAGCCATGTATCAAGGGGGGCCCATGCTGAGCCTCTAGGGGGTGTGTGGCTGCAGGTAGCTACAAGCTGTGGCATGCCTACTTGAGCGAGCGCAAGGCTGCGATGCGCGGGCAGCCGCTGGCGCACCCTGGGTACGAGGCGCTGAACAACACGTTTGAGCGCGCCCTGGTGACGATGCACAAGATGCCGCGCATCTGGCTGGACTACCTGGGCCTGCTGCTGGAGCAGCGCCGCATCACGCGCGCGCGCCACACCTTTGACCGCGCGCTCTGCAGCCTGCCCGTCACGCAGCACGACCGCGTGTGGGAGCTGTACGTGCGCTTCATCCGCCAGGACGCAGTGCCCGTGGAGACGGCGCTGCGCGTCTACCGCCGCTACCTCAAGTTTGACCCCACGCAAGCAGAGGACTTTATCACTTTCCTCCAAGAGGTGAGTGCCTCAGCATCAAGACGCAGGTCACGATGCTTCAAGGCCATGTTTGAAAGTACTTCTGTTGTAAGGTTGAGAAAGTCTGGTTTTTGTCACGACTGAAGGATGTATTCTTGTCTTGGCAGCTTCTTTCATGCCTTTTCCCAGCCTCTCATCTGTTTCTATGTTGACCGATCTTTGCTTTGCAGAAGGGACACTGGCAGGAGGCTGCTGTCCGGTTGGCGGACTGCGTGAACGACCCCGACTTCCAGAGCGTGAAGGGCAAGACGAAGCACCAGCTGTGGCTGGAGCTGTGCGACCTGGTGACCAAGCACGCGCAGCAGGTGACGGGCCTCAAGGTGGACGCCATCATCCGCGGCGGCATCCGCCGCTTCACCGACGAAGTGGGCCGCCTCTGGACGTCGCTCGCGGACTTCTACATCCGCAAGGGCCTGTTTGAGCGCGCTCGCGATGTGTACGAGGAGGGCATGGCCAGCGTGCTCACCGTGCGCGACTTCAGCCTCGTGTTCGATGCCTACTCCCAGTTCGAGGAAAGCATGCTCGCGGCTAAGATGGAGGCGCAGGTATTGCCACACTCTGTTGGCTTTTCATGTTTGTTGCCCGAAGAAACCACCAAGAGGCCTCTGATTGTTATGAGTGTTGAAATGAAGGAAGTCTTTGTTCGCCTGATATGCAATCCTGTATTGCATATTTTTCTCTTGCAACATATGGACTTTGACGATATAGGACTTGCAGTATTGTGGATACCACGTTTCGCTATGTGTTGGTTCAGATTCTTCACGAAACCAGCTGCAAGCAAAGATTCATCTTGCGCAAGGAATGGTTTGTCAAACGTGTTTTCCTTGTTACAGGAGGATCTTGAACCAGAGGGCGAGAGCCCTGACGTGGACCTGCGCATTGCCCGGCTGGAGGCGCTGATGGAGCGGCGGCCGGAGCTGGTGAGCAGCGTGCTCCTGCGGCAGAACCCGCACAACGTGCACGAGTGGCACAAGCGCGTCAAGCTGTTTGCGGGGGACCCCACCCGCCAGATCCTGACCTACACGGAGGCGGTCAAGACGGTGGACCCGCTCAAGGCGCTGGGCAAGCCGCACACGCTCTGGGTGGACTTCGCCAAGCTGTACGAGAAGCACGGGGACCTGCCCAACGCGCGCGTCATCCTGGACAAGGCCACGCAGGTCAGCCGCGCAACGTTGTGGGACCCGGCCGAGATCAAGCGTCCTGGACTTAACTCTGTCGGCTCGTCTGGTCGTGTACTTCTGTGTAAGCCCTTCTCTTATTGGACTTTATCGATCTCGATATCGACAGTAGCACTCCGGGATGTGAACTAGCCTGGACGAATAAGAGCACCCGCTGTTGCAGCCTTTGCACAGCGGGCATGCGCTGAGTGCGTGCTGTGCGTGTGTGCCACAGGTGGGGTACAAGGCGGTGGAGGACCTGGCGGCGGTGTGGTGCGAGTGGGCCGAGATGGAGATCCGCGCACAGAACTTCAAGCAGGCGCTGGCGTTGTGTCGGCGCGCCACGCAGCAGCCGCCAGAGACCCTCGGCAGACTCCCCGACGGTGAGGCCTCACTGCATGCCGCTGGCAAATCCAACATGTACTCTGAAAGCGGCTGCTGATTAGGTGTTAATGTATGAGACATTCGACCCCTAGGTATAGCCAAGTCAGGTCCAAGGTTGTGCAACGTCGTCTCGAAGTGGCTCTTCCACTGATTGCCATGCTTGCTTGGCAGTGTGAGGGGCGACTCTTGGTCCCGCCGAGTGTAGAACCCTTGCGTGAGGCCCTCTGACTCGTGCGTGGCTGTTGCAGGTGGGGCGGACGTGCCGGTGCAGCTGCGGCTGTACAAGAGCCTGAAGCTGTGGTCCTTCTACTGCGACCTGGAGGAGAGCCTGGGCGACCTAGCCAGCACGCGCCGCGTGTACGAGAGGATCCTGGAGCTGCGCATCGCCACGCCCCAGATCATCATCAACTACGCCGCGCTGCTCGAGGTGCGCCGCCTCCACCCCAGCCACCCGCACTGCAGTCCTGCGTACTGGAGCTCCTTCACATCTACTTGCACGTCTGTTTCGCTCCTCTGAAATCTTACATGCAGGCCGCTTGAGAGGAGAGGTTGAGAAGGCACAGTGTTCGTGGAACTGACTAATTCGTTAGATGCGTAGCACATTCAAGGGCTGCCAGGCCCGCCCCTGCAGTGTATTGACCGTGCTGCTGTCGGGCACTGTCTGCGTGCAGGAGGCGAAGTACTTCGAGGACGCGTTCCAGGTGTACGAGCGCGGCATTGCGGTGTTCAAGTACCCGCACGTCAAGGACATCTGGACCACCTACCTCACCAAATTCGTGGCGCGCTATGGCGGCAAGAAGCTCGAGCGCGCCCGCGACCTCTTCGAGCAGGCCGTCGAAAAGGTGGGCACCGTTGCTTGCGGAGTCTGGCCAGGTTCGGAGAGTCGCTTTCAATTTTCGTCGAGTTTCCCGCTGCAAAAGGGCGCTTGTTGCGAAGAGTGCGGCTAGTCACCTTGACAATGTCTTCTTATATGGCGATGAGTTCCTTCAAGCAGGTTTCTCTCCCGACGTTGCTCAGGGCATGAAGCTAAGACGAGTCTGGACTTTGTACGGCATGTGTGCTCGTACATTGCTGTCCTCTCCCATCTCGAATTCTGCATTGAGCTACTGGTGCTGCCCACCGTCTCATGAAGATAACCCGTGAGCCAGCGAAATAACTCTTGAAACGAACAGCAAGAACGCCGTCGATTGCCATCAGCCGGTATGCAGTGAGCCTCGAGGTCTCGTCAGCAAGCAACTTCGTGTGCAACTGTGATGGATCCGAAGGCCCAATTGTCCGAGTGTCTGGCTGCTACCTCCTATGCGAGTTTCTAGAGGTGTTGAATTGTGCTTGTGTGCGCAGGCTCCCCCGGATGCGGCTCTGCCGCTCTATTTGGCATACGCGAAGCTGGAGGAGGACTACGGGCTGGCGCGGCACGCGATGGCGGTGTACGAGCGAGCGGTCAAGGCGGTGGCGGACACGGCCCGGATGCAGGTGTACGAGATCTACATCGCGCGCGCAGCAGAGTTCTTTGGGGCCACCCGCACGCGCGACATCTACGAGGTAAGGCTCACGCCCTTGGCAGAGGGGACGCCAACCAATCTTGAGGTCTCTGTGCCTGAGCACGTCTGCTGATGTTGGTATCCTGTCTGCTCTGCTGCTACTCGCGCCTGGCTGATTCTTCATGGAGCGGCTGTGCGTGCAGGCTGCCATCGAGTCGGGGCTGCCGGACAAGGACGTGAAGGCGATGTGCCTCAAGTACGCGGCGCTGGAGAAGAAGCTGCAGGAGATCGACCGCGCGCGCGCCATCTATGTGCACGCCAGCCAGCTCGCGGACCCGCGCACCGACCCCGCCTTCTGGCAGGAGTGGAACGACTTTGAGGTACGGAGAGCCCCGCAATAAGGCCGGATAGTTGCACGACTGCTTAGCAACGGTCACCGTGCTTCTGGTCACCGTCCTATTTCCCAGCTGATGGGTCAACGCATGCCCATGTGTCTGGTCGGTTGGACAGGCGTGTCTGGAGCGGGTCGGGCTCGAGGAGCTGCGCTGACCGTCGAATTGGCTTGAAAGGACGGGTTCGCATCGATAAGAATCAAATTGTGATCGATACCCGATGGATGCAATAGCTCTAGACTGTGGGTCATATCTAAGTCCTACCGTTACACGTCAAACAATTCATACAACCGCGCAGCATGGAGACCCAGACTGGTGCCTCACTGCTTATCTTTCTTCATATGTAGAGACTGTTCAGTGGCGCTGCTGGTTCCTTCTGGTTGCCTGGAAGTTGCTCTGTGAGTGGACCCACGTTCGAAACGGTATGTGTGCAGGTGCAATACGGAAACGAGGACACTTTCCGGGAGATGCTGCGGATCAAGCGCAGTGTGTCCGCTAGCTACAGCCAGGTGAGCCGCCGTTTGGGCAAGCGTCGCAGGATGGGGCACGCCTGTTGTTCCCGACGCATGCACGCGCGTATATTCGATCCAGTCCACCTTCCAAGGAGCATGTTTGAACTCAAGGTCAAAATGTGTGCCGTATGTGGCCTGTCATTCGGATCCAAACAGGCTGACCGTTGCTGGTTCGCTGCGTGCAGATGCACTTCCGCATCCCTGAGCATTTGTTGGTCAAGAACCAGCCAGTGGAAGGGCAGGAGGCAGCCGCCCGGCCTGCGGTGGACGGCATGGCGGCGCTGGAGCAGCAAGCGCAGCCGAGCACGAGCCCCGGGGTGAGCAGGGCGCCGCAGTTTGTGAGCAGCGCGAGGGCCACCGCAGAGATGGCGCAGGCCATGGGGGTGGACGGGGGCACGACGGAAGTGCCGCTGAATCCGGACGAGATCGAGTTGAAGGACGAAGACGAGGAGGAGGGGGGGAGCGACGAGGAGGATGGCGTGCATCTGGCACAGAAGGAGGTGCCGGCGAGCGTTTATGGGGAGCTGGCAGACAAGGCGAAGAAGCAAGGGGAAACCAGGGAGGAGCCAGTAGGAGCATTAGAAAGGATCAAGCGACAAAGACGACAATAAAACGGGTCTGAAGGTTGACCAGTAGTTTGCGTCTGTGTACTTGTGCTACCTTTTGCTATCCTCATCAACATCACTGAGTTCTAGTTCTAGTCGTTGAGCAAGCTTGCTCTGTGTATATTTCTTGATGTTTGCAACATGTGTCGACACCACGTTGGATGAATTAAGCTGGCATTCTTCAAGCAGAATACGACTCGGTGTGCAACGCTGTCATGGAGGGCAATATTTCGATCGTGCCTGACTTGTTTGGCCAGATCTGTCAAGTCCGTTTCTCTTTCATGTGTTCCCGCGGATGCATTCATGTGTTCCCTAGTCCATGCTCACATTCACAATCAAGTGTTGCAAGTTGAAGAGCTCATGCATGCACTTGAGTGCAGATTGCATCTGCACTCAACGTTATGATGCATGCACTGAGATCCGCCCCCAGTGCAATGCAGACTCAACAGGTTCTGTCCAAAATTCGATCACGTGCCAGAGTATCTGTCCAATACCGTATTCCTAGGTACTTCCGACTCTCACGCGTTTTGACATCCGATCCGGGCGGAGCTCAGCCGCCGCCGCGGCCGCCCCCTATAGGCCCACACATTCAATTGAAGCCAATGATTATTACATCATGGTTATCCACGTGTCGAATGCTGGGGCTTGTTGAAGTCTGACTCTGCCGTGGCACGTGCGCAGACACGTGTTGCAACTTGCAAGACTTACCCAAGACTCGAGTTCGCCGTTCACCCGGTCGGTGCTACCGTACCGGTACCGGTCTATTTTACCGTATTGTCATGCAGGGCGCTGGCCTGCCCGGGCGGTGGCCCCTCCAGGGGCCCGGGCCCCGCGCGGCCTTCAAGTTGGCATGTGCCCACATGCTATCGGAGCGCAGCGATGCGTTGGGGGTCCGGCGGCCAATCAGGGTTCAGTAAGTTCGTGAACTCTCTGAACCCTGGTTTCGCGATGAGACCTGTGAAGGAACCCTGAGACGTCCGATGAAAGAACTCTCTGAACCCTCAGTGGCCAATTTTGAATTGACTGAGCTCATCCTGTTCATCCAGTCAGTAGCTGCCTACCTAACGGACGGCTCGGATTGCTTCTAAAGCGCGGGATGTGGATAGGGACGACGGCATACACTGATACTGTTACAACACTGGCAGGGTGCATGCAAGTCCAACTTGCATGCCACCTGCATGAGCTGCACTGTGACTGTACCCTACTGTCTTCTTACGTCAGAGTCAGCAATGGCGCTCATGTAGGTTTGTTGCTAGTGCTCTTCTGGCTGCTGCTTAGCTTAGTTGAGGGTTCCTTCAGCAACCTGCTTCCTGTCTTTGGGGGTGCTCAGTTGCTTAAGTTTAGCTGCTAGTTCATCTACTAGAGCCTGTAGATACTGAGTAGGTTGAGCAAGTGCTGTAGCAAGGCTGGTGACAATTGAGGCTGGTTCCCTATTGGCCACTGGCCACAGCTTGTGCCATCCAGGCTCCTGAGAGAAGCCATCATGGCAGCAGTTGCGGGGACAGGCACTGATGATCCAGAGCTGCTGGGTGTCCCTGTAAAGCATGAGTATCTCTTGAAACGTGCCAAGCAGCGCATTTCGACGCTGCCCGTCTGGAATAACAAGGGAATCCTGGTCCAGAGATCAAAGAAGAAAGATGGGAAGAGCCTTGAGGTTCCAGTGATGGGGCCTGATCCTGATGTCTGGCCGCATTGGATCATTCCTGGAGCAAATCCTTCCTTCCGGAAAGATAGCATTTTGGAAGACTGGTACCTCAAGAACTGCAAGATTGCTTTCTGGCACCCAAAGCTCTTCTGGTACGTGTTTTTCCCGGGGCCCAACAAGCTCAAGTGCCCGGACTGCGGCTCAGCAGAGAGGGTGATTGGAGATGGGTGGTCTCCAAGACTGCGGGCGGTGTGCGAGCTGGACGGCACGCTGTTCATCATAGACTATCGCTACCGATGTGTGGGCTGCCCAAGTGAGTAATGATAATGAGCTGCTTTGCTAAATCAGGTACACTTAGTTTGTAGACCTGTCTACGTTCTTTGGAAATTTGTTGCTGGGTGCCTGCAAAGCGTTTACCAGCTTGCGCGTGCTTGACTTCTCCAAGCAAGGGCTTACCAGGACCACATGTATATGATGTGTCTGCAGATGCCAAGGAAGTTTAGTTGAGGCTATGTATTGCAGCTTGCATAATTCCAACACAGGCTTTGCAGTCAGTCTCATTACAGTTTGTAATTTTGCCTTTGGTTATGATTGCGTTCCATGAGCGGTACAGATTCTGAGCTGCTTTCTTTCCATATGCAGAGACCACGGGTCAGGGGAAGGACCGTTGCTTTTCCAGCATGCACCCCACTGTGGTGGCTGGGCTCCTTGCTTTCATCCAGCGGGAGTTCGAAGAGGCTTTTCTGTTAACGCACAGAGCTGGCCTGAACAGAGGGCTTCTCCACTTTGTTGGTGCTCTTGCTGTCGAGGGAGTTGGGTTCTCAAAGTCTGAGAAACTTATTGAGGAGAGTCATGCTCGGGTGTTCTTTTCCACTGAGGAGCAGTACTACCTCTATCGGGAAGCGGTTGAGCGGTCGGAGAGGGGCAGTTTGGGGAGTTTCTTTGGGGCTGCCAGTTCTAGCAAGGCCCCTGCGTTCGGGGGCTTTCGTGCGCCCGATGGCTACCGGGTATACTTACCCAGTTCTGGCTACTTAACGACCGCCTACTTGGCGGAGTTCAAGCGGCGGGAGAGGTGGCTGCAGCAGCAGCTAGAGCGCGTTGACGGGAAGTATCAACGCTTTGACCATACTTTCAAGGTGAGGTGCAAAAGGTCTACCAGCAAAGCACTTGGAAGCGGAAGTTTGGCAGTTACACGTTGCTCTTCTGGATATTGCGGTGGGGTATGCAATTGCCAAGTAATGCAACCTAAGAAAGCCCGTAGGATGCTTGTTTTTTGCGGCTGAAATTGCCTTCACCCTAGCAGGTTTTGCCGCAGCCAAATGAAAGTGACGCTCATATAAGCATCAAGTAGCATGAAGAATAATGATCCTACGACCCTGATGCGTTGTGCAGGTAGCGAAGCAGGTGCGCGCTGCTGATGGGAGTAAAGCCGGGCTCAGTCTTTTCACGGGGATGAACAGCTACGGCGAGATTACTTGCCAGGTGTCGACGCAGACGACGTCCATCGACGAGGTGGTGCCAGTGCTGGAGGGGCTGTCCTTACGCCCTGAGCGTTTTGGATTTTCTGTGAGTTGCTCTTTTGATCTTCTATCCTTTCTCCATGAAGACTTGTTCAATTTCTGAGTGTGACTTGCTTCTTGAATGCTGCTTCCTTGCAAGGTTTCTTGTAGCTCTGGCTTTCATGCATTGAGCGCCGTCTTGCACATTGCATACTCACAGACTCTTGCACGCTGCGCACTTACAGAGCAAAAATCCTCCCCTGATTGCTTGTTGCCTAATTGCAGCCAATTGAGAAGGTATGGGTGGACAATCCTCAGACCTCCAAGCACAAGATTTCCCGACCCCTGAAGTTGGACCCCAGTGACATCTTGCTTGACGCTCTTCATGGCATGATGGTGGTGGCGCGGACCGTCCCTGACGATCATTCTATGAAAGGTAAGAAGCCCTCCTATTTTGGCATATGCGGAGTCAAGTGACATTCAATCACGGTGTTGCAACCGTCCAACATTGCAAACGCCAGATTGGAAAAGTGTCCAGTTGTCTGCCGGCATTGCAAAGTTCCTTAGTTGTCCGCTTATACCAAGCATGCTGCCCGCTTATGACCAGGATCAGCCAGCTTATGGTGTCCTTTTGGTGTATGGTGAACAATTTGAGTCGCAAAATGTGTTGCGTTGTTGAGAAACTTTACTTATTCAGGTCATCTGCTGTACTGTGCTATTCTGTTGACCGGCTTTTGCCTCCATCTCTCTCCGCGGCTGGCCGCTTATGTCTTATAATTGGACGATTTAGGCTCAGTGCTCCGCGGCGCCTGCATGAGGTGCCGCTGAAAACCAGGATCGCTCAAGTGTTGTTCTCACTTGAGATGGTCGTTTACCATTCATATCAGGTGCCCTAACGCCTTGGTGTTTTTCACAGGTCCGCTCATGACCCGGATGAGCGAGGCAGTCTTTGACGTCGTTGAGGGCGACAAGGACCTCGTGGTGAACTACCTCCGGGGCCAAGGGCTGTCCAACTCGGAGATAAGCGCCAAACCCGCGTCATACTTCAAGAAGCACTGTCGACGGTTCATCCCCGGTCCCATGGTGCTCGCGCAACGCCTGAGGAGGGTGTACGAGACCTACCGCTGCTCCATCGACGCTGCGACTGGAGCACCTCTGTTCAACAAAGCGACTGAGAAGGCTTTCCACAACCTGATCCGGTACTCTGAAGAGGGTTTGCTCAGCGGTGAGAAAGCTACAAATATTCTGTGCCTCTTTGAAATTATCTGATTGGAGTGGTTCCCCAGATTCTGGTCAGGTTTTGGTTCCCTGGTTTTCTTTACACAGAGCAGACCTGTCGTCATTTGAGAGGTTTAACCTCTTACAGAAAAGCGTCAAAGTATTGGGCTAATATAAGCGTGCTTCGACTTCAGGTATCATGAGAATGAATGTTTGGAGTCAAGCATCCTTCAGTTGGGCAGCTTTGTGGTCAAGTTCGAAGATGACATCTGATGCACGTTCACGCAGTTGGGACTCGCCTGAAAGGCCCTTTAACCGAGATGACCTGAATGTGGCACCTCTGAGATGCACATTTTCTGGTCCGATGCAGATCCCTTTGGAGTGGACCAGATGTACGTGCAGGTCGGGACGTGGGGGAACGGCATCCCGAAATATGCTGCCATACGGGGCTCGAGCCCTCTGGAGGGGTACCACAAGCACATTGCGCGAGTCCTCTCGGGGGCCAACAATTCTGCCGAGCTGGGACATGCCCTATTGCTCGACAAGAACCACCGTTGGAACACAAACGCTCGAGTTGCAAAGCGGGGCCAGAGGGATTTCAGCATGTACGACTTCAGGTACATCGAGAAAACAAAGCGAGCGTGCCAGCGCCTTGGAATGGCTGACCCCTATCCCGAATACGTGATCCAGGACTTCGAGCCGCGTGAGCGCTTTGGCTTCGACGTGTTGCCCCCCGGCTCCGAGCTGCTGGCGGGAGCTTCGGGGCCGCTCCCTACGGAGTTGCCGGTGGTCGAGGACGACGGGGGGGCGTCCTTCTTCGAGCAGGATCTCGAGCCGCGTGGTAAGTAGTCGTTGTGCAACTTTCACCTTATGTGGTCATTCCAGCTTGCTGCAAAGAGAAAACTAGAAATGCGCAAATCCATCTTTTTGGTTCCGTTCATTTGTGTTGGGCGCGGAGCCTGTTCTTTTTCAACTCAAGATTCTGTTGAAGCGGCGCTTGCCTGGACAAGTCCACTCATTCTCTGGTGCGTCACTGCTGATCCGGCACCTGAAACTCTGCCCTCGAAAAATGTCAAATGTTCGTATGTTCTTGTCACAGATCAAGCTCCGCCCATTGCGCCCATCCGAGACCGGATTCCAACGGCAGCGCCAGCGCCGGCGCTATCCGGAGGCAGCTTCCGTCCCGTTGTGCCGTCAAGCACAACCTATCCGAACGTTGAACCGGAGGGTGTATCTGCACGGCGATCCCAGTTGCCAACTCCTCTTGAAGGTACGATTCACAGGTCTCGTTTCTGCTTGCGGCCAGCCATGCTTGCACAGCGTCCGTCTTTTGACGTTATATCGAGAGATTTTCTAGGCCTTCGTGACGAGATTTCAACTTGCCGTGGACTTGCTCATTGATCAGCGTTTGCTTCCAAGTGAATCGCAACGGGGCCTCACGGCCGGCCGCGCTCGCTTGTTGTTTCAGGGCCAGGAACGGCTGCAGACGTCGCAGCGCATGGACAGCCCGCTCAGCCCGCTTCGCACATCTCTGGTTCTCACGGGGGTTCTCAAGGTGAGTAGAGGAGCACAACCGACTTTCGTCCATCTTCTATTGTCCCTATCTTACTGAAAGCATCACCTTGCAGCTGCTTTTGTGTCCACATCGAAGCTTGCAGATTGACTCCGCTTCGACATGCAAGCATGCCCAACCATCTAGGTGTGCTTGGGCTCAAAGCCCACTTCAATCAGATGAGCGTTTGAACAATCCGTTCTCAACCCCGTCCCGGTTACCTTGTGCAACAGGGAGAATCTTCTCCTTCCCGGTTCTCCCGTCCTCGCATGGAGCACGAGACCAGACCCCTGTCTTTCAGCAACAAGGTAATCGACGGAGCAGAATCCTAGTTCTGATCATCATTTTTATGTTCGAAGCCGGGACTTAGCTTTGTGCATCTCAATCAAACTTGACTGTGAGCAAGTGCGACCTTTATCTGTTCAGCTGAACAACCATACTCATGCGTACTTGTGCAGGTGCATACCTTCCGCACCAGAATCCGCAGTCACAGGGCCCGCTCGGGGGTGCTCCCCAGTTCTCGTCATCAGGGTTCGGGCAGCCGTGGTTGCCTCACGCCCATCCAGGTGACCTCAACACGTATGCTCAGCCCTAGCCCATTCGAAAGCTGTGTTTGCTTTCGGGCAAGGCTATCAACACCTTATTGAGTCCAGATCTGAAATCTGGTAGCCTAAGTGGTTGAAGCAGCTCAATAGGGCGGTTCGAAGCTGACGTCACTCGTCGTTCAATGGATTGTGTTTTCTTGTATGCAGTCGGGCTCCAGTCTGCTCACAGTCGAGCCACGTTGGAATCGACAGTGGGCCTGTCTAGATTCCGAGGGTTTCCCATGGGAGGTGAGCAGCGGAAAAAGTCTGGGGCACGAAGGAAGCGCCTTGTCGACTTGGCCACGTCCCAGTTCTCGCCGACGGAGGTGGAGTGGTTTGTTAGGCTGCAAAGCAAGCATCGCAAAGGAGCCTCAACAAACTGGCAGGCTATGTTATATGATTGGAATACTTCTCTGATCCAGCTGAAACTAGATCCTAACAAGGCTGCCCTATGCGAGGGTGTCAATCCAAAGTTGGTAGGGCAGTTGCAGGGGTTCGAGAAGAAAGCATACGACGCAATCAATCAGCAAGCTTCCCAGCTCTCACGTGTCGCACTCAATCCGGCAAACGCCCAGCGCCACCCTCTGACACACTACACCGCCTCACGTTTTACAACGCCAGTCGCTACGTCATCTCCTAAAGCATATGCCGCTGGCGCTCACTTCTACTTCTCAGGTCATCCATCCCTTGCGCCTGTCCACAATCCTGTCTCTCAGGTCGTTGGGGTCAAAAGGCCACTCGAGGTAGGTCCCCCTAACAGGGGCGGTAAGAATACTCCGAAAACGTGCTTGAAGTGCTCTGAGGCGAGCGGACAACCAGTCTACAGAAAGGAGCACATTTGTCCATATAAAGCAGCGCAGGGGCCTTCATGAGGTGTGGATAAGATGTTGATTAGAAAAGAGCCTCGAGGACAGGTTAGCAATTGTTGTAGACCTTGTGTTTTAAGACGCTTGGCTCTTCGTTTTTAACAGTATTTGTTTATTGTATCTATTTCGGCAAGTTGACATAGTGGACAATTTGCAGTGATGCTCCTACTGTCCGACATAGTAAACTGGAAGGATTGACCTTACAAAGCGAAATGCGGATATCAACATCCAGTAAGTGTATTAGCCGTGTGTCGACTTCGCAATGGAAATCTGCTTGATCCAAATCGATTCCTGGTTCATGATATGCCTAGCTTCATTGGCATGATGCACATAGTACATGCGTAGTATGTATAACATTCATTTGTGACAATATGCGGAGGACGCGTGCATGTTTTTGTATGTCGGCATATTTGATCGAAATACCTCAAAGTCCGCATATGAAATACAATGATCACCTCATAAAGTCTGTACCAAAGCACATGGAGCTTATAGCATGCATGACTAGCTATTGTAAGCAATCAAACTTGATTTGTGGCAGCGCCGTTGCAGTACTTGTTGCTGCATCGATTTGCATCTTTTTAGTGCGCACACAGCTAGCAATCAAGCTATAGCGCGCGGCCGCTCAGCTGGGCCGAAATAGGGTTTTAGGCTCCATAGGGTTTTTTAACGGTGTCGATTCGGACCGGGCGGCCGGGGGATTTGTCGAAGCACAAAGATGGGGGTCGAGAACCGCGTCGTGACTCTCCCGGGGGGCTCCAACGGGCATTTCAAATCTGTTGTAAGGACAATAATTACCAGCATTTTGGGGGGCTGCGCCCCCCAAAACAGGCCCTTCGGGCCTCAAAATGCCCCCCAACACACCGAATTTTTGCCCATGCTGAGCACTATACGGTATTCTGGGGATCAACTTTCAAGCCGCAATGCATGGATGATGGCGCTAGAGAGCAAGGGAAGGCAGGGAAGGTGTGTTGCGAGCGCTACGATCCGGGTTGGTCTCCCTGCTCCTTTTCCATTACTATTGCGAGGCACCGACCTGCAAGAGGAAAAAGGGGGTCCTCTACTAAAATCCAGCGCAGTCTTGGTGCAGCATCATGGACAGCCTGGTGCCTCCCGCTTTGAGCTAATGACGCCCGCACGGTGGGCTGAGGTAGAGTGGTCACCAAAGCACTCACGTTGAGGGGGATTTTGAAAGATGTGGTGGATTGTTCTCTAATGGAGGAGTCAGCATGTGACCATCTGGTACAAGCTCACGGACCAGGAGTTTTTGCTGCAAGGACTGCCGTCTGGGTTCAGGTAGTATCGTGCAAAGTTGAGGTTCTGTAGGTTCTGTAGGTTCTGTAGGTTTAATGTATCATTGCCGGTTACAGAGTAGTTGAGGACTCTCCTTGGGTGCCCCCCCTGAGGTTGCGACCATGGGTTTGGTGCAGCTTGATGGCGTCAAGCTTCCTGGTTTGACGCTCCAAGAGACTCTTCTCCCTGGCTTCACCATTATTGAGGAGATTTACCGCACCTCTCAGTCCGTCCTGTTCCGTGCGCTGCGAGAGCGGGACACCTCACAGGTCGTGTTGAAAACAGTCCCCTCTCGGCTGGCGTCGCCGGAAAGCACCGCGCACCTGCGACGGGAGTACACAGTCGCAAGAGACCTGCAGGTATGTTGGGCCTGGCTGTGTCTTGCCCCTCCACTGGTGGCATACTTCTTAGAAGTTGACTTGTTGCAGAGTGTGCCACTTGCGGAGAGCTCGTTTCTTCTTCATTTGACAGTCTGCTGCCACTTGTAAAGAGTCGAGACTTGCACAAGTTCCACATTTGATACTTTTGGGGGACCTGAGACTGAAACTTGAGTATGATAAGCCCGAATGTATCCTGAGGCCTTCCTTTGTCTTAAATAACAAAGCTGATACTGAAGCAGGCGTACAATGTTGGCCTGATCATGGCCATGCCAAGCGACAGTGGATCGAGAATTAGGAGCCTGGTGGCATTACTTCCCCGTCGGGGCCACACTTTGTGGTCCTTGCCGACGTTAGCTGGCTCTAATAAAAAAAGTAACATCTTTCTCTGGCTGACAACCAATGGAGGGTGCACTGGAAATACCTGTCCGCCAGCAATCCTAAGGCTGTTGTGTTGATGTCCTTTGGCGCACAGGACTCCCCCTTCATTGCTAAGCCCTTGGAGCTGATACAACATGGTGACACCGCTGCGCTGGTAAGTCGCAAAGAAGCACCCTGCAAGAGCTGTTCTTGGAGTATTGTTGAACAAGCATGCTGGGTGCCGTCTCTCGCCTTCTGGATTGCTTTGCATCATAGCACTGAAGGGCACTGTGTGTCTTCGTTAAAATCTGCAAGGTCTTGGCGCTGAGGTGCAGGTGCTGGAAGACTTTGGCGCCACCTCGCTGCAAGCTTACGTGCGCGGCGGCAGGCTGGGGCTGCACGATGTGCTGCGGGTGGGCATTGCGGTGGCGTCCGCGCTGGACCATGTGCACGGGGGGGGGCTGCTCCACCTGGATGTGAGGCCGCCGCCAGGCTGATGCCCTGTGGACGCAACAGTCCAGTAATCGGACAAGGGGGCCCACTGTGGGTGGACGAATGTGTTGGATAAGCCCCGTTGATAGCTGCAGTGGACATCGACCCTTGAAATCGGTAGTCCTCTTTGCAGTATTTCAATGATTACAGCTGTGGGCCTTGTCCAAAAAACGGGGCTTGTTCACCGAAAGCCACCCCCCACGGCTGCACATTGACCACTAGCGCACCGTCCTGATGCGTCTGCTTTTCAACTTTAGAGTGCTGTCCGCGGTACTGCCCGTGTTGCAATGGGTAGTGGACACCGTGTCTTACCTACGATTTTGTCACAGTAGCAAGGGACCGGGCCGCCTGAAGCTGGACTTAGAATTGTGGCCCTCAGCGCACATGCTCCTCAGTGTTCACCGTGCAGGTGAAGCCCGCCAACGTGCTGGTATCTGCCAATCTGGCGGTCATCAAGCTGACCGACTTCTCCATCTCCAGCCTCCTTCCCGAGCACAGCCAGGCGCCTGTCAGCCCGGAGGCCCTGCGCGGAACCGCGGCCTACATCAGCCCCGAGGTAGGCAGCGCGCACTACCTGGTCACGATTCGCCCTCACAAGCACAAGGCGGGCAGGGGCTTAAGACGGAACATGTTCCTTCAGTTCGAATCAGCATCAAGCTGTGTGTCTCTCAAATGTGACTGTACTTCCTTAGAAAACTCTCTCGACGATCAAACCCAAGCGAGGGGGATCTGAGAAGGTATTTCATTCACTTTTCTTTTCTTCGTGGGCGTCGGCGAAGGCTTTTGAGATTGTCTGCTGACATTGGCTGACTGAGAACTGACAAGGATCGTCCTCCTGACCTTGTTTACCCATCTCAAAACTATACCTGTTGTTCGAGTAGCGTTGAGGATGTACACAAGTTTTCCCTGCCATTAAGGGGCACTTCTCGCATTAGGACGTGAGTCGAGACCCTCTCAAGCAGGTATAGAAATGCCCGTGTGAGTGGTGTTTTGCAGCAAACGGGGCGCATGAACCGCACCATCGACTCCCGCTCGGACCTGTACGCTCTTGGCGTGACCCTGTACGAGCTGGCGGTGGGCGCCCGCCCCTTCCACTCGGAGGACCTGCAGCACCTGCTGTACCAGCACCTGGCCGTCGTCCCCACCCCCCCCACGCGCCGCGACCCCGCCTTCCCGCCCGTCGTGTCGGACATAATCATGAAGCTGCTGCACAAGGACGCTGCGAACCGCTACCAGACGGCCGCGGGCCTGCGCAACGACCTGCAGGCGTGCCTGGACCAGCTCGTGCAGCACAACTGCATCACAGCCTTCCCGCTGGGCAGGGCCGACCAGCGAGGTGTGGCCCGCAACCCGCTCCTGCGTTACGGCTCCGCTCCCTAAAACTTCCGTTTGTCTGTGCTGACTTGATGTTCCCCGAGCAGAGCAATTGTTTTCGTAAGTGCTGGGCATCCGTCCAGCCAAACCCGTTCAAACGGGCTGCTTGCGTTTGGGGCCGTGGCTTAAGTGAGCATTATTCTGTGTGGTGCGTTGCGCAGGCCAGTTGCGGGTGCCCGACCACGTGCTGGGGCGGGAGCACGAGCTGCAGCTGATCGGCCATTGCCACAAGCGCGTTGCGGAGCGGCAGTCCATGGAGGTGATCCTCATCTCCGGCTACTCGGGGGTGGGCAAGACCGCGCTCGTAGGTGAGCGGCCCCGACAGGCGGCTACGGCTTAGTCCTTGCGCGGCAACTTACCCTGTCCCAAAAGTGCTGGCAACGTTCCAATTCGACGAATACAACGGAACCTCGTCTAGAAAGTAGCAAAGTGGGCGTCTGCTTCGTCAGGAAGGAGCGGCATGTAGGACGAGAGCATATCCAGAATAATCTCTTTTGCTATGGGTTAAAGAGCAGACCAAAATTCCTTTCAACCCATTTTTGGCTTCGACCTCTCGGGAATCTTTGTTTTCGTGCCGATGCTATTTTCTAGGATACGAAGTGCGGATGTGACCTGAACATACTCGCTTCCTTGTTTGAAAATTAAGTCTCGTGCCCCCACTTTCTGTGCCAGGCGAACTGCAGCGCGCCCACACAACGGGCAAAGAGGGCTTCGTGCAGGGCAAGTTCGACCAGTACAGCCACGACACGCCCTTCAAGCCCCTCATTGCGGCCATGCAGGTGAGGGCCGCTGCGCCAGCATGCACACACGCCAGTACTTCCTGCAGGCCGTCTTTTCCTTATATCTGCGAGTTTTCCTTGCTGCTTCAGATTGATGTATTTACCCTGCTTGCCTCGCTGCTTGGTAGTGTCTTCCCCTAGTTTTGCTGTCCTATTGCAAATTTGTCAAGGCCTCATCTTTCAATCGCCGATGCACAAGTCACTGCACTCCCGCGTCAGTTGCGGCCTGACGTCGCCCTTGTTTTGTGCTCTTGCGCAGAGCCTGTTGCGGCAGGTGTTATGTGAGCCTGCGGGTACTATTGGTGTGTGGCAGGAGCGCGTGCAGGCAGCCCTGGGCCGCAACGGGCGCCTCATGACGGACGTCCTGCCCGGGCTGGGCCACCTCATCGGGCCGCAGCCGGAGCTTCCGCCAGTCGATGCGACAGCGGCGCAAAACAGGCAAGGCACCTTTATGCTTCTGCGAAGCAAGACGTTCCAACCTGCACCTCTGTCACAGTAGGCCCAGGGCCCCGGACTTGAGAGCTTTGTCAATTCGTCGTGAATGTCAGTGAACCACCTTAGCATCATGTGCAGACATGTTGAAGAACTTTTTACAACACGGGGCGCACTTTGAAGAAACATTTCTTGACGATGCATCATAACGTCGTTCCTCTGCAGGTTCTCCGACACGTTCGTGCGGCTGATCCGCACGTGCGCGCAGCTGCGCAGCCCGCTGGTGATCTTCCTGGACGACCTGCAGTGGAGCGACGGCCCCAGCCTGCGCCTGCTGGAGGCGCTGGTCAAGGACGGGCGCGACCTGCCGCTGCTGCTCATCGGCGCGTACCGCGACGTGGAGGTGGACGACAGCCACGCGCTGACGCGCCTGGTGACAGGCCTGCAGGGCAGCGAGGTGCCCCTGCTGCAGCTGCACCTCGGGCCGCTCAAGCTGCCCGACACCACCGCGCTCGTCGCCGCCTGCCTCGGCCTGCCCGCGCACGACGCAGGGCAAGGGCAGCGCTGCGCGGAGCTGGGAGCGCTGGTGCAGGAGAAGACGGAGGGCAACCCGTTCTACTGCCTGCAGTTCCTGCGCGCGCTCGTCAAGGACGGCCTGCTGCACTTCGACAAACACACCGGCGAGTGCAGGTTAGTGCTAAGAAGAACGGGGCATCTTCTGCAAGTCAGTTGCCCATCTGAGACCCACTGGTGTCGGCTTTCTTGACCAACGAGGCTTGTTTCTTCTTTGAAGTTCTGCACCCACTGCCCTTTTGAGAGACCAATTCGGGCACCGTGGACATATGCAAGGGAGTCTGCCCGAAGCCGCTTGCGACTGCAAGCTATGTTGGCCCATGTTGGACCGAAGCCTGGTACCTGCCTTCTCCAAACCTGCCAAGAGAATCATGACAATCTGCTCTGTTTGCAGGTGGGGCGATCTGTCGCTCCTGCGTGAGCGTGCGCATGTGACGATGAACGTGGTGGACTTCATGGCCAACGAGCTGCGCACGCGCCTGCCAGCCGCCACCCTGGAGGTGCTCAGCGTGGCGGCCTGCATCGGGGACGTCTTCACTCTGCACGAGCTTACTCTCGTCTGTGACAAGGTGACCAGACGACCAGACGTCTTTGATGCCAAGCTGCTAATTCATCCTTTGTCAACAGTCATCGAGGAGCCAGCTAGACTTCCATACATGCTCGATAGCTTGTACGCCTCAATGGGGCGCCGCGCACGATGTCTGACCTTGTTTCTCCCATTGTGGTACTGCTCTCCATCACAAGCATCTGCTCATCTGCTTCCATTGTTTCCGTGGGCCTCACCCCGCGTGGCTGCGTGCAGCTGTCGGGCGACCTGGTGGGCCAGCTGTGGCCCGCGCTCACGGCGGGCTTCATCTTCCTGGTGGGCAAGGAGTGGCAGGCCGCCATGGGCAAGGACGCCGCCACGCTCAGCAGCGTGCGCTTCCGCTTCCGCCACGACCGCATCCGCCAGGTCAGTGTGGCCAAGCCAGCCCGTGGGGGCCCAAGTCTTTGTTGTGATCACAGGGGCTAGGACGCGTTTCTTGAGAAGAAGGGTACTGTCTGCGGCTAGAGCATTGAAACATATTTCGACTTTGCAATGTTCGAAGGTAGCTGGCAGGCTGATGCGAGGAAAAAGAAGCCCTACTGGCTCAAGGCAGAGCTGTGCATGGTCTTATGTCGTTTGCAGCGATTGTGGTCCCGTTGCTTCAAGTCCAGGAGCCCTCCTAGTCTACGATGTCTGGTACGCATGCTTTCTTCCTGTCCTTGTTAAACTCTTACTTAATTCCTAAGGCCTTCTCTGTGAGCATCCCCTGGTTTCATCCCCCTCCATCTCTCGAGCTTACTCCCCCTCCTGACTTTCTTTGCGTTCCTTGTGTGCAGGCCGCTTACCAGGAGGTCCTCCCTACGGCCCGCGCCCAGCTGCACTTGCGTGTGGGTCGGCAGCTGATGGCGGGGCTGCCGCGCGAACAGTACAAGGAGCAGCAGTACGGCATCCTGCACCACTTCAACGAGGCCATCCACCTCATCACCGACCCCGCCGAGCGCCTCAAGCTCGTCACCGCCAACATGGCCGCAGGTGAGGCACCACTGCAGCCAGCGCAGAGGGAACGTGCTCAGTTCTGTGTGCTTAGACCTGTGATTGATCTGTCCAAGGGTGTGCACTACTTGGTCTTTTGACGAGTTGTCAAGGCTCTAAGTGGACAGCGCGGCAACGTTTCTAACCCTAGAGAGGGGTCCAATTTCCAAACAGTGCCCTCTTGATCCAAACATAGCAGGATGTAGAACTGGATTTGTCCATGCTAGACTGTGTAGGTTGGTCGTCTTGCCTTAGCGGGTTTTCCTTCACTAACAGCGATGGCCCAGTATTCACCTTGAATGTGTCGTCTCCAGGCGTCAAGGCGAAAGCGTCCACTGCATACGAGGTTGCTGTGCGGCATGCGAGCTGCGCCAAGCGGCTGCTGGGGGGCAGCGCGGGGTGGGGCAGCCACCCGGACCTCATGCTGCTCATCAACATGGACGAAGCGGAGTGCCTCTCACTCATAGGTAAGCAGGCCGACTAGGATCGTGTACTGGTCCGCAGCCTCAAACCCAGGACTTGAAAGTTGGTGGGTACGCAATTGCAATCATGTGGATGCAACACCCCGTGGAAGCATTGCTGTCTTGAGCAGAGCCTTGATCTCGCGTTCCGGTTTTGTTGCAACGCAGGTAAGCACGAGGAGGCCCTGGCCCTGCTCGAGGAGCTGCGGAAGCGGGTGAACAATGATGCGAGCAACAGCCTGCGGATCGCGGAGATGCGGGTCAATGCACTCACGCTGGCCGGACAGGTGAGGGGGGCCAGGCGAGCCGGGACATCTGAGAAGGATGCTCTGCGCTTTTGTACTGCCGGAGCAAGCGGTCCTGCCTGTTCGTCAAGGTGGAAAAGTCAGTGGCGGACTCCCGAACCAGGATTCCGTTCCAAGTTCTCCTGTCTGCTATTGTACATGTATGGTGCGGATGCTCGTCTGAACGTTAGCTTTCGAGACACGCTCTATTGTTAGGCCCTTTTTGTATCGCGTGTCAGCCATCCCCACCATGTGATGTGTCCCGCTCCCTCGTAATCTCTTCAAGATGAAGTTCGCCCCCTCCCAGCACCCCAAGTGCTCACGTCCGTCTGTCTGCGTTACTGCCAGCTGGTGGCGTCCATGGACGCGGCTCTGGAGGCGGTGGCGCTGCTGGCCACGCCCCTCCCCACCGAAGACGCCGCGCTGGAGGCGGCCCTGGCCGAGGAGCAGCCGCGCGTGGAGGCGCACCTGGCGGCGGCAGACCTGGCGTCCCTGCCCCAAGCGACGGACCCCGAGTCGCTGGCCCTCCTGCGCCTCATGGACTGCGTCATTGTCGGGGGCTACAGCACCGGACAGGTCAGGCCAGCGGCCGCAAGGGGCCGTCCCGAAGCTGCCCGTGGCAATGGATGGAGCACACCGTTCAATCAACGGTCGCCTTGCTCGTTACGCAATGCAATCTTGATTCCCATTTCGCTACCTTCCAAAGTCCATTGATTGGCCTCTTCTTTTGTTGTCCATTGTATTGTCGTTGCTGTGGATTCTGGTAGGCCCCCTCCCGTTGTGACTTCCTGACGCACCTGCTACTCGTCTGGCTGCTGATTAGTTCACGGTGGCCCTTGTGCGCAGGTGAAGCTGATTCATCTGCTGACGCTGCGCATGGTCTCCGTCGCGCTGTCTGCGGGCATCTCGTCGCCTGGCTGCATCGCGCTGCTCCTGTACGCCGCCTTCTTCGACGCCCGCCTCAAGCGCTACGAGGCGGCATACACGCTGGGCAAGCTGGCGGTGGCCGCCATGGACCGCCTGCCGGACCAGAGCAAGCGCGGGCAGCTCATCTTAACCTTTGCGTCCGCTGTTGCGCACTGGGTGCGGCCCCTCCAGGTGGGTCAAAGCGGAGGGCGAACAGGACAAGCTGTCTGCCTGCACTGCTTGAGTGTCTAAGTACTGCATGCTCTGCATACTTGTCTTGTGTCGAACCAGGCATCAATGCGGGGTACGAATTGGATCTCAGTTGCATTTCGTCAAAGCCAAAGGTGCGGAGCTGGAATGAAGAAGAACTGGCAGTGGCCCACGGCCACTTGATATACTTGGAAGGAGACACTGCATACTTCGTCGAAGCAATGTCGAAGCAAGATTTGAGCTCATTGGAACAAGGTTGAGGTCAGGCGCCCAAAGCTCTACGTGAGACCCCTCGTCGACTCTCTCTCGACCTGCCTCAGCTTCGTCTGATGTGCCCCCGGTGCCCCCTTGCCTGCAGGAGATCATCTTGCTGTTCGAGGAGGGGCTGGCGGCCGCACTGGACGTGGGCGACCACGTGTACGCGGCGTACCACCTGTCGCAGGCCGCGCTGTACCACTTCTACTGCGGCGCGCCCCTTCTCGACGTGCAGGACAAGGCGGAGAGCTGCCAGCGCGCGCTGCACCGCATCGGGGACACCAGCCAGCGCGCCATCACCACCGCGGTGCACCACGCCACCAGGTGACCCCCTCCGCACTTGCCGGGGCGGCCCCACTCCGCCGGGGTGGCCCAAGCAGCACCGGGCCACTTTCATCTACGGGGGTCTGAAAGCTGTACGTCGTTTTTTGACGGCCTGCGTAATTTGGTTAACCTCACTCCCGGATGCAGTCTGGCAATGGAGACACAAAAAGCGGGCGGCTGCTGGGTGGCCATGTCCTCCTCCCTCCCTCCTGATCTGCCAGGCACGTCCCCCTGAAAGTGCTATGCTGTGCGTGCAGGGTGTTGATGAAGGACGTGCCGGCGTGGGACCGTTGCAAGAAGGACGACGACACGCCGTGGGAAGCCGCTTACCTGTGCGAGCACGCGTCCAACGTGCTGGCTCTCGCCTTCTACTACACGCTCAAAGTCGGCACCCTCTGCTGCCTGGGAGACTACAGGTGGGGCCGCCTGGCCGACAGCCACGGCATGCTGCACCCTGGTGCAGCCGCTCAGAGCTGCCGCACTGGGCCCAAGCGCACAGCCCCTCGCCTTTACTTGGCCTCCCATGCCGGTGTACTGTGCTGGGACCAGTGGACCAGCTGCAGCTCCTCGCTGTAAAAGGGCTTCCAGACCAGTCACTCCTCCCGCGTTTCAGCTGCACTGCATTGCGTACCCTCATCGCGGTGCCTTGTGGTTGGTTGCTAGGGAGGCGGATGCCGCGCTGGCCGCCATGGGCTCGCTCCGCACGGTGCTGCAGCCGACGGTGTTCAGCGTCATCGTGTCCTTCTACGAGGCCGTCTTCTGCTCGCAGCTGCTCCACGCGGCCGCCGCCGACAGCAGCCCTACCAAGCCGTGGGAGGACCGCCTCAACCAGTGAGCGCGCTGCCCGGCTCGGGCGAGGCCTTCAACCCTCGAACGCATGCAAAGCCGACATGCTGGCGCTACTGGCCGACCATGGAGCACTCGTTCTTCCTGAGAATCTCAAGTTGTTCTTCTGATGCTCGTCCCTATGGATGCATCAGCCGCTGAGTTGGGCACTATGCTGGCGGCGCAGGTGCGTAACAACCCTGCAAGAGTATGCGGCCATCAACCCGGGCCACCAGCACCGCTACTGCCTGGCGCGTGCGGAACAGGAACGCTGGAAGGGCGATAAAGCGGCGGCAGAGCACCACTATGCGCTCGCCATCGATGCGGCCGAGGAGGGGCGCTTCGTACAGGTGAGCCGCATGCAGATGGGGCGTGGCTGCACGCGTCTGGCGGCCTTCCTTGCATGGCACGCTTCGAAGGCAAGTTTGCTTCCAGAGGTCCCTGATGATGAGACAAAAGGAATCACTTCCGAGTGGGGCCGCTTCTCCTCCTTTTCCAGAAACGGCCAACAACTCGGCTAGATCCAAAGGTATTTGAACCTCTGAACGACCTGACACTTGCAGCAATTCGTATCATTCAGCACCTTTAAACGTCTCGAATCATCATCTCGTAGGGTGCAGATGTCCATGAAATGTTGCATTTGCGGTTATGTCAGCGTTTCTGTCTGTGCTTGTGAGATTCACGAGGCTACTTTTCCGCTTGTTTCAGTCTCCTCAGGGTCTATGCTGAGCGCATTCTCTCCATTCTTCTGCAGGACGCCGCGCTGGCCTACCTCCTGGCCAGCCGTCACTGGGCGGCCGTCGGTCGAGCTCGCCTTGCTGCGTGGCACCACACGGAGGCCTACGATGCGTTTGCCGCGTGGGGCGCCACGGCCGTGCTGCACCGCCTGGCGCTGGCCCCCTCCACGCTGCGGCCGGGGCGGCGGCGCCTCAGCGACGGGTCGGCTCTGACGTCGAGCCACTCGGCGGAGGCGGCGGTGGCAGGGACCACGCTGGACACGCTGCGGCTGAGCAGCTTCAGCGAGCAGAGCCTGGACATCCGCGCGGTCCTGGCCGCCAGCCAGACGCTGAGTAGCGCCATCGTGCGGGAGGCGCTGCTGGAGAAGCTGCTCGGGATCGTCCTCGAGACAGCGGGGGCCAGGTGCGGCATGAGGGAATCCCCGCACGAAGCGCAGACAGTCTTGCCTGCGGTGTGCTGGGTGAATGCCGTGGCTCTAGTTTGCGCCCCTTCCCGTGCAGCGTCGTGAAAGATTCATGTCCTTCCTCGTCAAGAGCAAGACGTTATGGATGCCCCCTGACTCGGAGATTCAAGCTGGTCTATAAAGTGGGTCGTTGCATGGGCCACGATAAGATGACGTGGCCAACAAGTTTCAATACTCTTCTTTTAGGCACGCCGACCATCCATTTAACTTGACATACGCATTGTTTTGTGGTTGACATGTCACGATTCCAGAGAACCAAGCGCCAAGTCCATTGTTAGTTGCCTGTCCTAACGTTGGCCCTCTGTTCGTCTAGTACCCCGCTGTGTGTTGTCTTTGCAAGTGAGCGGACACACTGAAGGCTTGCACTGTGTTGACCGTTGTGCATCCTCGCCCCCAGGTATGTGGCTCTGGTCCTGCGCCGCCCTGGAGACGACGGTGGCTGGTACATGGAGGGCAGCGCCAGCGTACAGGTACGGGCCGGACCGCGCAGTACCGACCCCCCCAGCCCGCGCCTCAACGGGCTGTCCCTCAACGATGACGTGAAGAGCCCCTCTCCCGGCGTTGACACGGTCACGCAGGTGGCGCCAGCGGGTCAGGTGGTGCCGCTCAGCGAAGCAGGGGCGCTTGTGCCTCAGGCACTGATCACGTGAGCAGCACCACGATCGACCCTTATCTTTTGTAGCAAGCGTCTGACATCAGTCTCTATCAGGGTCAGCAGGGCTTGCTTGTGGCGAAATGAACGCAGCAAGCTCTCATCCTGGCGAAAAACTGGTTTTTGGTTGATTGTTCAAGCTCCACATGCCAAAGGCTGTATGATAGCCGTGGTGCGGTTTTCTGGCAGGTACGTGACCCGCACCCAGGAGGTGGTGCTAGGCGGCGTGGAGCTGGGCGGCTCGTACAAGGACGCGTACCTAGAAGCGAAACGGCCCCGCTCTGTGCTGTGCATGCCCATCGTGCGCCATGGGGGTGAGCATGCCAACATACTGCCTTGCAGACCATCGGGAAGCGCATTCTGGCAAGGAACCGGTGTGGCGAGAAAGTGCTGGCGTTGGGTCTTTATCAGGTTGCAGGCGGACACTCGGACCACTTGCAGTGCCCTTGCTCGACGTGTGCTACTCTGTGCTGAGGTCCTTGTCCGCTTCGCCTGCACTCAGTCCTCTGCCTGTCTGTGTCTGCAGACTCCTATGGCGTGCTGTACGTGGAGCACGAGCTGCTGCCGGACGCGTTCCCCGCCAGCCGCATCAAGATCCTGGCCATGCTCAGCAGTCAGATTGCCATCTCCATCGAGAACAGCGCGCTCTACGAACAGGTGCGCCTTCGCGTCACTCTATGCTCCAGCAGTGGTGCCTTTGCAGTTGGGCGCTCACCACACTCGTACCCTTGAAAACCATCTCCGCATTTCCAGACCTTCACGTTTTCCTTTCGGCATCCGTCTTCTCGCAGATGCAAAGCCGACAGAATGAGCTGATTGCTGCCAAGAATGCTGCGGAAGAAGCGACACATGCCAAATCCCTCTTTTTGGGTGAGTAGGGACCTGCCTGAGCAACGTACCCTGGGCCCCGCCTATTGGTCATTTGCGGCCTTTACTTCATCTCGACGACTCAGTCGCTGGCCGTATTGGAAGCTACCATGTTAGCAACTTCGGTGCCTGCTTTTTGGTGCAACCTCTGTCACATTTGCCAGTTCTGGTTCAAGCTGTGCCGGTGCGCCTCCTCTGACCGTGTGCTGCCGGCTGCCGTGTTTGTGCAGCCACCATGTCGCACGAGATCCGCACCCCTCTCAACGCCATCATTGGCATGACGTCCCTCCTTATGGGCTTTCAACTGTCGGACGAGAAACGCGAGTGCGTTGAAACGATCCGGCAGTCGGGGGATCAGCTTTTGGCTGTGGTGAGCAGGAACAAGGGGGTCAAATTTTGGTTCTTGTTTCTTGATTTAGGCTCTTTTGCCCTGTTCTCGTTGTTGCCTCTTGATCTAACACCTGAAAGTCTACTTGGGCCTCTTGAAAGTCTTGTATTTGAGGCTCCGGTCGAATTGTTGGTCCGACCCCGTTCCACGATATTGCGTAGACCCGACTGCGCATCTGTGTGGGTACAGATCAGCGACGTGCTGGACTTCAGCAAGATCGAGGCGGGCACGCTGGAGCTGGAGGCGGCCCCTTTCAGCGTGCGGCAGTGCCTCGAGGAGGCGGCCGACCTGGTGGCCGCGCGCGCCGCCGACAAGGGCCTGCACCTCGCCACGCACACCGCGGCCACCATTCCCGCGGCCGTCACCGGGGACGTCTCCCGCCTGCGTCAGGTCCTGGTGAGGGTCGCGCGCAGCCTGCCGGAGAAGGCTGTTGTCAGGGATGTATCGACTTGCGTTTGTCAGCGAGTCGCTGTAGTTTGTTCCAGACGTGCAAGGCTCCTGCTGCTTTCGGAGCAGTCCTGTGTGCGGACATGTAATCAATTGTTACGGTGTTGGTGGCCCAGGTGAACCTGCTGAGCAACGCGGTCAAGTTCACGGACGAGGGCGAGGTCATCCTGCAAGCCGCCGTTGTGGCCGTCCAGGGCAAGCAAGTGCAAGTCGAGTTCACGTGCCGAGGTGAGCTGCGCCGACACAGCCTCACTGCGGCTTGGTTGAGAGGAAGGCTCAGTGCGCCCTTGCCCGGCTCCACAAGCGGCTTTTACGTCCAACATGAGACAAAGTATGCAAGCAGCTAAGGGTTCATTGGTGCATGGTGCCTGTGCAGATTCTGGCATCGGCATTGCTCCGGAGCACATCCCCCGTCTGTTTGCGGCCTTTTCGCAAGCAGATGCCAGTACGACAAGAAAGTTTGGCGGGACAGGTGAGCACGTGACGAGCACGTGGTTGCATCTACTAAAGCTTGCAGTGCCATTGTCATCTGAATGTATCGCATGCTCGAGCTGGGCTCTTCCAAGCGCTGTGCTTTCATCGTTGGGGTGCTGCGAGGCTCTTGCGAAGCCAGACGAACGAAATCCGCTTCGCTTTTGTGCAGGTCTAGGACTCGCCATATCGGACCGCCTAGTCAAGGTAAGGCCATCACGGCATGCACGCTCTCATTACATGCGTAAAGGAGCCACAATACTTTGAACTTGTAACAGCTGAGCGGGCCTCCTTACCGTAGAGTTTGTGGCTAATCGCGTCCTTTGGCATCGTAAAGTGGGCGTCTTGGGACCCGGACGCCTGACGTCACACAGCGACGTCGAAGCACGGCTTTCTGATGTTCTGTCGCCAAGAAGTTGGTATCAGCGTTTGTGCCCCGAGCACGGGGCCTTGCTAAAAGTGGCCGGTTGATGACGTTGCGTAGACGCCCTCTTTCAAGCGTGAAGAGGAATTTGTTTTGGAAAGGGGTTCTCGTGTCTTGCACCGCCTCTCAGTCAGCCGTTTTCAACTACGAAACGCAAGTGTGCCGCTGCAGGCGATGGGCGGGCAGTTCCAGGTGGAGAGCGCGCTCGGCGCAGGGACCACGTTCCGCTTCGCCATCCCGCTAGAGGCCGCAAGCGGTGCGGGCGAGGCGGGCGAGGGGGCGCGGCGCGAGCTGGCAGGGCGGGCGTGCCTGATGCTGGTGCACAGCGGCAGCCTGGCCGCCATCCTGAAGGAACAGCTGGCCGCGTGGGGGCTGCGCTGCACGCACGCGCGCATGGTGACCGCCGCGCAACAGCTGATCAAGCAGCAGGTACGCCACGCAGCCTTCACGCTTAGGAGCGCGGACAGCATGACCGCTGCAGGGAGCCAGCACCATTCTCACGGGCAACAGTTTCTCGAGCCTGCCGCATCATGCTGCTTCGAAGGCTGAATAAATTCGTCAGTTCTTTCAGTCATCATGCACTGCCATAGATTGTCCACCAGATTGAGTGGCTGATGCCGATCTGCTATCATGCAGGTGTAATATCATCCATTCCGTTTATCCATTCACTGTGCGTTCGCCTTCCCCTCAAAAGTTACTGGACAACCGTAGCTCACGACTACTGACTGAGGGCTGGAGCCCTGCAGGGGTATACGCTGAACGGCTCACTGGTTTCTCATTCTTGCCCTGCAGGGTGCAACATCGTTTGACATCGTCATAGCGGACAAGTGTCCGACGTTTGATAAGGCCACCGTCGGTCTCACGGAGTGCCCGATTGCCAAGGTTGCTCCGCAGTTGCCGGCCGTCGTTCTGTGCAGCTGGACTGACTGGAACACCAAGGTGCGAGGCGCCAGGCACGCGGGCATGGATTTATCGCCCGGTGTGCAGCGTCGATACGTTCACTGGTGTACACAGTTCTTTGTTGTCCGGTGCAAGGCGTACCTCTGAACCTAGGCAATCGAAGACAGTGACGGAATGGCCAGACCCGAGATGCCGAAGTGCTGATCGTACGGCTGTTTCCTGGCACTTGACTGATGCCTTTCTTGCCGTCTCCTGCTCTGCTCCTGCCGTCCCCCATGCTTTGTCCTGTGTTGCTGCAGGCGTCGCTCGGCCCGCTGCGCGCGGTGGTGAGCAAGCCGGTGAAGATGGGCCACCTCTGGGACGCTCTCACCAAGCTGCTGCGGGTCCCGCGCGGGGCGGCCCCCTCAGCTGTGCCGCCTATATCAGCCAGCGCGGACGAGGGGCCCCCATCGCCGATGGTAGCCAGCGCCGCCATGCGCAGCGCGCTCCGAATCTTGCTCACGGAGGTGCGCGCAGGCACACCATACTGAGCCACCACGAAGCTTACGATGGCCTCGTTCATCCGTTCAATCATTCAAATCTTTGGATGAGCAATGCCAGGGGGTTTGTGGCAGGGAGCACACTCCCAATTGTGCATCGCCAGGTGTCAGCCTTCGGCTGACTCTCCAGTTCATGCCTGTGTTTGCATTGCTGCTCCAGATGAAGGGCCCGACTGTCCACGTGCTTGCTTAAGCTGTTGGGCCCAGCAGGGGTTTGATTTGCAATTAACTGCATCCACCGCGATTCATTCCTGTCGTTTAGAGTGCTGCGAGCGGGCTGAATCAGCTTCCGTCATGATCGCCCATTGCAGGACAACCCTGTGAACCAGCGTGTAGCGCAAATGCTGCTGAAGCGGCTAGGGTACCGTGCCGACTGCGTGGCGGATGGCATCGAGTGCATCCGCAGCCTGGAGCGGCGCCCCTATGACGTTGTTCTCATGGACCTCAGCGTGAGTTTCATATGCGGCGCTGCCAACAAATCACAGCATTTACATACAGTGCTAGCAGTCCCTTGCAAACCCCTTGAAGGCCTCTTGAGTTCCGATCTCGAAGCGAAGCCCCGTTTCATGGACTGCACTGCTGCCATGGCACGATGCCGCTCAGATGTTGCCCGCGCTTCCCCCGTCGCCTGACGCTGGGCCCTGGGCGGTGCAGATGCCGGTGATGGACGGGCTGCAGGCGGCGCGCGTCATCTGCAGCCGGTGGGCCCCCGGTAAGCGGCCGTACCTGGTGGCCGTCACCGCCAACGCCATGGAGGGCGACCGCGACCGCTGCCTCGCCGCGGGGATGGACGACTACATCAGGTGGGGTCAACTGCCAAGCTAGCCAAAAGCGGGAATGTTTGATGTGCCGGAGCATGTCCTCCCTTTCATGAGAGCCCCCTCAAAGCCCGCGACTTTCATTTGCAGTTGGCGTCTTGCAAATGTTGAAGGTCCTCCTTGGCAGCTACGAGCATCGATCTTTGACTCCTTGAAACCCTGCCTAAGCCGTAGATTGAAGCCTGATCAGCGGGCATAGCCATTATCCTGTCCTTACCCTGCATCTTGGTTTGGACATAGCCATTATCCTGTCCTTACCCTGCATCTTGGTCTGGACAATTATTAAAAAGCTTACCTGTTCCGCGTCTGCAGTAAGCCTGTAAGGATCAACGATCTCCAGAAGGTGTTGGACGAGCAGGCGTTGAAGACCAACGAAAGATTAGATAGCCCTCAAAGCGTGCTTCAGTTGCCAGCTGATTAGCCTAGATTGTCGGGCGTCTGCTGATACCAGCTACTTCAGCCAAAAGTAGCTGCGGAGTAGCTGCTTTGCAAACCCGATTTCGTAAGTAATGTGGCGGCCACTTGCAAGTGTTGGGGTACAGGATACAAATCTGTGACTGCAGATTTGATTTGGGCTTTATTGTTGGATACCCCTCACACGCAACAGCTTGAGCTGGTCTTTGATCGAAGTGATTCCGTTTTGATCAAGACTAGGAAAGCGTACTTGTGTAAAACAGTTTCTAGGGTTGATGCGCGCTACGCTCGCCTAAGTGGGACACACCATTCTTAGCAGTAATGGTACGGATAAGCTTAGTTGACATAGACAAGTCAAGGCGCCATTTGGGATCGACAAATCCAGCTAATCGAAGCCTGAGACATGCACTTAACCCATGTAGTAACCCTTCCGACATTATCATCGGATCGTGCCATTGATCATATAGCCGATTCAATCTGAGATTGATCGTTACTTACAATTGCGTTGGTCGACCCAAGCGCACAAGGTTTCAACTTCACGGTTACTGTGTCAACATATGCGGACCGGGGCTATACTATAGCTCTACGTACTAGGCTAAGGCTAGGATGCATGAACCCGGCCAGTAACTGAGCATGCAAGCTCAGTCCAAGTTTGCTTATATATGAGCTTGCTTAGTATATCTCACTTAGTATATATGTACGGTGACTGTGGAGTGCATGAGTTGACAGGCAATCATAAAGACGGAATCTTGGACTATATATATGATCCGAGTCAACCAAATTGACTTTTACTGCACAAATAGCTGGCATGCATATATCAATAATAAATGGATCGATTGCATGCGCATGCCCGGCCATATGATGGCAATATGTGACTCAGTGATGCAAGGCATCGTGTCAAAACATATGTGCAGTGGCGTCCGGACCTCCGCTTTTCTGAATTTCCTTGGGGGGGTTGGTGGCCGGTTCTCGGAGCTCCGTGGCCAAGAGTTGAGGGGGCTGGTGGCCGGTGCCCGGTTGATCACTTTCATGGCATTTTAAAAGTCACGTATCTCAAAAACTTTCGCGTATACATATATAGTGGACTTCGTATACATGTACCTGCCCTCGCCAGCCCCCTGCAGAAAATCAGGCCACACCAACCGACGAGGGTTGGGCTTTTGGTTCTTTTAACGGCGAGTTTTATTTGTTTTGTTCTTTTATATGACGTCAAAGCTCCTTTAGCTGACGCCAGACACTCGTTTTGCTGACGTCACGCTTTTTGAAAGCTCGTTTTGATGACGTCATCAATTTTGTCACCTGTGCTTCCACTCAATTCAAATTCGGCTACACCTTATTCAATATGGTGCTTCAGGGCTAGCAAGATAGCAAAAGTGATGATCCGACGGTCACCATGTGTACATGTGCAAGATTCATGTATACCAAATCTCGCGGTTTGCTGAGTCAAGCCAGCAAGCGGTTCTGGACGATGAGTTGAATAATCCTAGACATCTATAGTCGGACGCAGGTCCTAGACCATTTTGTTGAAGCCTCCTAACTAACGTATCGAGTTCCAATCCTCAATCACTCAATATGCCGATTTAGCATAAGATGCAGTTCAAAAAAGTGCAGCCGGGCTCCATTTTTCACGTTTGAAGGCCCACCGTCTCTCATGTCTCCAAGTTCCAACCATAACAATGCTTGGCGGCTTTGTGTCATGCGATATAGT